GGGGTGATGACTGCTCCAGCCTGGCTGTGGCTGTCCCCTGCAGCAGTGGTGTCCTGGGGGACACTGTGAGCTGGCTGGAGTGGAGACAGTACGATCCTGGAGATGTCAGGCCATGCCCATGGTGGTGTTTACTGGTGCTGGCTTGGAGGGGCTCCCCAACAGCCCCACATTTCCAGTGCCTGTTGGCAGCACAGAGAGGAGAGGTCCTGGAGCCTGAACCCTTTTTGCTTGCTTTGCCAGGGGGAAGGCAGAGTGGTGTACATCAGGAACCTCTCCAGCAGCATGAGCTCCAGCGAACTGAAGAAACGCTTCGAGGTGTTTGGGGAAATTGTGGAGTGTCAGGTCCTGTCCAGGACTAACAGGTGGGTGTGCAGCAAGCTGCAGCTCCCTCACCCCAGGCAGTGCAGGGTCACCCTTGCATCCAGCTGTGTGTGTGAGCCAGTTGTGCTGGTGCCAACCCCTTCGGGCAGCCAAGACCACAGTCGATGCTTTCTGCAAGGAGTTGTGTCCCCATTCCAGGGCATTGGGAGGTCTGCTGGGATGGAGGGACAGTGTGGTGGAGTGCTGGGAGCACAGAAGTGTCTCAGTGGCTGCAGGGCATATGACATCCTGACCTCTTTGGTTGCTCAGGGGGGATAAATACGGCTTCATCACCTACCGCTACTCAGAGCACGCCGCCTTATCTCTGAAGAACGGCCCCTCGCTAAGGAAGAGGAACGAGCCTTCCTTCCAGCTCAGCTCTGGTGGCCTCGGGCGCTTCTTCTGGACCAGATACTCTGACTTGGGTAAGGAAGCAGGAACTGCTTGGCCCAAAGTGTTTCTTTTATCAGCACAGAGCTATAAAAGCACTTTGCACTGCTGAGCCCTGGTCACACAGGGATCCCTAACACCTCTAGAGCCTGCAGGGAAATCCACCAGCTTGCCCATGGCTCATGTAGCTGCTCTCAGCTCAGTCAGTGGCTTGGGAAACTGGGGAGAGAGAAGAAAAGCAACTGATGTGAGGCCTCAGGGTGTGTTGGCTGCAAAACACAGCATCACAGCCTGGGGCTGCTGCGTCTCAGCTGACCACAGCCCATCCTGGCTCTGCTGTGCTTCTGCACACTGCTGGAGGCTTTCCAGCAGAAATCTCCCTTCCCAGGCCTTAGAGGAAGCAGGCAGCAGCGTTTCGTTAGCCCAAGAGGTGATCTGCAGGACAGATTCACCACACTGCACTTGCACTGTTGAGCCAAACTGGCAGCACTGAAATGTGCTGTGGTTGCATTAATGCTTTCTGTGCTGTGTGGGCTTCTGCAAGGCCTCCTGCCTCACTTGGTGGCTGTGCAGCCAGGGTCTCACTGGACCCCATCTCTCCTTGGCTGCAACCTGAGCCAAGAGGCAGGAGCCAAACCCTGTGCTAATCCTGCAAGAGAAACGTGTCCAAGGCTTTGCCCAGCCCTTCTTGCTGTGGTCTTCAGGTGTTTCACCAGCATTGCTTGTTTATTTCTGTACCCTCTGCAGGGACTGGAGGGTTCTAGGTTCCCTCTTCACGAGTGAGAGACTGAGGCCCAGAAAATGCAGCCCCAAGTCTTGACTTACCTCCTAACACCCAGTCTGACACAAGCAGTGCCTGATCTCTTAGTACCTTGCAGTATCTCCTCTGCTTGGAGCAGCCATCCCTCTGACTTTGCTTGTGGGCACAAATGTCCATTGTGCACCTAAATGAAGCCCAGAGCCTCTCATTTTGGGCACAGAGAAGGTAGGAAGCAGATAGCACCCCGTGATGATGTTGGCTGTGCAGTGCTGTGGGGAGGGGGACAGAGCTGCCCCCCTCCCTAGGAGAAGCCCTCTCAGTGCTCCTCACCCATGCCTCAGTTTCCCTCCCCACCAGGCAGAAAAACTAGAAAAAATAATAGAATAAAATAAAAGGAATAAAATAAAAATAATAGAATAAAATAGAAGCAATAGAATAAAATTAAAAGGACAACTCCATTTGCTTTCAAGCTGTGATTTCCCTTGGCTGCTTCTATGTCTACCACAAAGACCAATTAAGACAGAAGTTTAGATTGTTAGAAAGCAGGAAATAGGTGTTGTTTGATTACATATTTTCATAGAATCATAACATTTTAGGGGTTGGAATGGAGCTTAGAGATCATCCAGCCCCAACCCCCTGCCCTGGGCGGGGACACCTCCCACCAGAGCAGGTTGCTCAAGACTTCAACCAATCTGGCTGTGAACACTGCCAGGGATGGAGCAGCCACAGCCTCCCTGGGCAACCTGGGACAGTGTCTCATCACCCTCACAGGGAAAAATTCTTCCTGATATCTCATCTAGATTTCCCCTACTTCAATTTGAACCCATTACCCCTCGTCCTGCCACTGCAGCTCCTAACAACTCTCTCACAAGAGGAAGTTTAGGTGTTCATTGAAGCCCCTGGTGCCCCTGTCCCTGACCCAGCTGCCTTGTGTCCCTGCCGTCCCCAGACTGCGGCGCGGAGGAATCCTCCCCAGCTCCAGTGAAAAGCAAATACGAGACGATGGATTTCGACAGCTTGCTGCAGGAGGCCCAGCTCAGCCTGCATCGGTAACAGCCTTAACCTTGGAGGAATACCTCAATACCTCAGTCAAGGCACTTCCAATATGTTTACGTTTTCACAAGAGATGATTCAGTCTGTGGAAAGCGAGAGAGAGCGAGAGCACGCGCGCGCGAGAGAGAGACTGCCGTCCCTTCCGATCGATGTTTACATTGAACAAAGCTGCTTCTGTCTGTGAGTCCCCATGGTGTTGATGTCTCACTGCCACACGTTAGTCCCTCTGCTTCTGACTGGTTGTTTTAGGGTGAGCCTAGGAGCCCTCCCAGCCCCTTTCCCTCTCCTCCCAGCCCTCCCCGTGCTCCTGCCGTGGAGTTGCAGCTGTGTTCACCATAACATTTTTTTTGTCCGTAGTGTGTGATGATGAAATTGTTAATTGTGAATAGAATCAGGATTATAAACTAATTTTTCATAGAAGAAGAGAAGAAGAAGAAAAAAAAGTATATACTTAAAAAAACAATGTATTTATGGCTCAGATGTACTGTAATTCAGATTTATTGTACCGCTTCCTTGATTTCGAACTATGCACTGTAATGAGGCACTTGCCACTCAGCAAATGGGGGGTCAGAGCAGAGGCACCGAGCTGGCACTCACCCTCCTCCCCTGCTGGCAAACTGGGGTGCTCAGAGGGTCACCCACCCTGCTGTCAAAGCCATTCTTCTCGCTGACGTGGCCTGAGCCCCCAGCAGCACCAGGTGATGCTGTGCTGGGTCCTGGTGCGTGATGGAGCTGGGGCCAGGCAGCTCTGCAGGAGGAAGGAGAGGGTTGGGAGAACAGGGGGCCGCGGGGTGATGCCTGCCTGCCAGCACTGCTCCAGCCCTCCCCTGCCTTTGGAGGCAGGAGAAAAGGGCTGAGGGGCTGGAGCCAGCCAGGTGTGGTCCCTGCTGGCACAGCCTGGGGGATGGATACCTCTGTGTCCGTGCGAGGGAGCTCCTTGGATGGCTGGGAGACCAGCGGGGCCAAGCAGCTTGCTCCCCACTCACTTCCATCCCCTGCAGAGCAAGCAGGGCGAGAAGATCCATCCATGATGCCCACTGGGCATCCAGCCCAAACCCCAGAGAGGTGGGAGGGGGCACAGCACCTGCGCCGCACGTCTGCCCACCCAGCACCCTACCTGATAAGCCATACACCTCCCCAGCACCCACTTGGCACCCAGGATCTGTCCCCACGCCCTCCAGCACCCCGTGGCATGCTTGCCCACTCTGCCTCTGGCCAGGGGCCCTCAGGGCTGCCTGGCAGGGCTGGTTTAAGGTATGCTCAAGCATAAAATTTGCTTGCAGACTTGCCCTCCCCCTCCGGGAGAGGTGGGAGGGGGAGAGAGGCCACCACCGGCTGGGGCAAACCCCACCACCAGCTGGCCAGAGGCACTGTTTTCCTGAAGGAGCAGGAATCTCTCTGCTCCTCAAGCCATTGCCATTGTCTCCTTTTCTTTTCCAGCCCCAGGGACCACTAGGGATTCAGCCATCCTATGTAGATAGAATATTATAGCCTTAACTCTGCCAATAGCTAGATTAGAGTCTCCTGGGGTCTCCCCTCGGCATGACTTAGGGGTTTTATTCTCATGTCCCTGGCGTGGGGATATTTCATCTTGCAGGGAGAGTGAGCAGAGCCTCTGAAATGGCACAGGATGTGATGCCAAGAGCCTGAGCCCTGCCGGGGTGGCCCCTGCTCTGGGGCCACGATGATGCTGGTCCATGGCAGGAGCAGGAACGCCGGCAGCGCCGACACCAGCACAGTTCCCTGGCTCTTTCCTTGGGGAAAGCCGTGGTTCTGACGACAGCCAGCCTGGCACTGGAGCCCACAGGCCACCACGGGGTCCCCAGTGTGCTGCCAGTGACCACCCCTGCCAGGGAACAGTCCTTGTGCCATTTCAGCCTCTCCCTGCCACAGTCTCCCCCACTCCTCATCCCACCTCAGCCAACACGAGTAGCTCTGGCCGAGACTGAGCATCTGCTATTGGCAATTGCCTCATTGTAGCTTTGCCTTTTTCTGTCCTAGTATTTCCTCACGATGATGATGATGATGTTTACATGTGATTGCTATAGAGCTTATGTAGAATGTACATAGCGACACATTTAGGGTGGGTAGTACTGTCCTGTGCTGTGCTGATGTTTTGCAGAAAACGATCAATCAAAAAAAAAAAAAAAAAAAAAAAAAACCAAAAAAAAAAACCCAAAAAAAAACAAAGAAAAAAAAAAAAAAAAAAAAGTGGAATTCTTCCATCTCCTGCTCAGCCAAGGGCCAGGCCCTGCTGAGGATGCATCAAGCGTGGTGGAGGGGAAGGGTTAGCACAGAGCTGGGTGGACTCTGGAACCAGTGGAGCCTCCTCCTGGGGGATTACTCAGTTGCTTCCCAAGCATTAGTTTGGGTGTACCCAGATGGAAAATGTCAGATAGTTTTCCTGCAGCTGGGCCCCCTGGGCTGCCTCACAGCCCCTGCCCAGCTGCAGGATCCCGAGGCCAGTGCTCGGGCAAGGAACGGCTGGTCCTGCACAGAGCTGAGCAGTACTGCAGCTGCAGGGCAGGGAGAGATGGAATAAGTGGTCTTCATGGTGCCTGAAGCCTATAAGGGGGGGTTGGGTTTGGTTTGAGGTTTTTTTCCCCTTTTTTTTGGCCATTAAATTGGGATGGTTTGGGTTTCCTCCTCCCCGGACTTATGCACTATGCTTCGAGCCCCATGGGCTGTGTGTTTCCTGCCCCAGGGGCATGTGCTGCCTGCCCTGGGGGCTCCCCCCAACTTTTAGCACTGGGTGGCAGTGGAGAGAGCAGGTCTGCTGGGATTAGACTCCCTCATACATGGTTTGGTGTAAAAAGAAATCAGTTTCCACTTGATTTTGAATGTTTTAATTTTGGGGGATTTTTTTTTTTACCATAAAGGTGTCATAGCTCTCAGTGCTCGAGTCTGCACAGGGGCAGGAAGGTGGGCTCGGGCACAGGGTGAGAGCTCCCTCCCTTAGCAGCCTGTGATTGTTTTGGATGCTGACAGGGAAGTGGAGCAGGAGCAAAGCAATCCCTGGGAGAGGCAGCTGCTGCTGCCAGGGAAGCCAGAGGCACCCAGAGCTTTGCAGGAGCTGCCAGGGAGTGAGGATTCCCCCTCACTCCAAGGATTGCCTTTACATCCCACCCAGCCTGTGGCATTGCCATGGGTGCAGCTCCAAGCTGGGCACCCCGAAAAGGGAACCCTCAGACCTCAGCCCCCTGCATGGGTCAGGGCTGTGGCATGGGGAGGAGAGCTGCTTCAAAGAGAAACTGGGAGCAAAAGGGTTTATTATGGTAGGCAATAAGTAAGGAGGAGATTTATTTTTGTAGAAATATATAGACCGTCCCCCAGTGGTTTGCTGCAGGTGCTGTGGGGAGATGCTGAATGTGAAGAGTTTCCTGACTAAATACCCCTTTGCTTGTTTTGCACAGGTTTGCCCCAGAAAAGCTCATTGTTCAGGGTGGGGGACCTGGTTCCTGCCTGGAATCCAGCAGGTCCCTGAGGCTCCTCGGGCAGGAGCACATGTTTCTGAATGTGAATGCAGAGGACAATCCCAGGTTTTAGGTCTGATGCTGCCCCAAAGAAAAGGTTTATCCCAATCCCTCAGCGCAGCTGCCTGGGCTGCACGCCTTTAACCAAGCAGCAGCTCAGTCATCCTGTTACAGTCTTGAGTGTCTGATTTCAGCTCTGATCCATGCAGAGGAGTGTTGCAGTTGCAGGTGAACACATTTTTCTCCTTTTTCTTTGGTTTGTTTTCTTTCTCTTTGGAGGGATGTGAACCCTGAGGTACATGGGCGTTCGCAGCTGAACCCGACACCCTTTCTGTTCTGAGCATCCATCCCCAGCAATCTCAAGCAATATACAGCCAAATGCAGCCTTGGGGTTTCATTCCTCTCCCCTCACCCTCCCCAAGCTCAGGGGTGGCAGCACAGCCTGGTGTGGCCATGGTGCTGAGCCTGGAGCTGTGCTGCAGTGAACACAGAGCTGGGGAGGGAGGGAGGGAGTGTGTGTATGCATGTGAGAAAGAGAGAGAACAGTTCAATTGATGCATTTCTTGAGAAAGGTGTAAGAATTTCACCTAAAAAGGGGCACATCTGCTTTGTTATTTATAAAAGAAAAGCTAAATTCTGTCTTTTTCTTCTTTTTTTTTTTGTTTTTTTTAAGTAAAAGGACACTGCTCATAATTATTAGGGGCCAATTCTGCCTCCCTCCCTCGTGCTGAGTGAGTACTACTTCCCTCTGCGATTTTCTGCTTGCAGAGTGAGGACAAGTAGCAGAATTGATCCCTTTGTGATTAAAAATCAAGGTTTTAGTACTTTTTTTTTAAATTGGTAGAGGTTTTTTTTATATTTCACTTAATTTCCCCCCCCAGTTCCCTTCTGTTGTGTCCTTATTTATGTAACATACTTTCACCTTAAAAGCTGGCATGGATTCTTATGCCTTTCCTTTATTATTGTTATTATTTTTAAAAACAAAAAGAGATTTCTTTCTAGTGTGATTTACCTGTCTACCTTCTACAACCAGAGAACGTTTTCTTGTATTTTTACATTGTCAGATTCTATAGTTTCCTAGATAATTTAACCAAATCGCTCAATGTATTCTCTAGATCTATCCGGTGGGTATAAAAGTTCTATTTTAAATTGTGTAAATACTTCAGAACTGGCTTCTTTTTCCAGACTCCCCTGCTGTGGAGTTACTTGTTTACATCCAAAAGACTGTAGAATCTCTACGCTCATGTACTGTAAATAGTGAAGTGATCTGCCTATAAATAAACGATAACATATATACTACAAAGTGGAAAGAAAAAAAAACAACAAAAGGAACAAGTCTGTGCTGCTGTGCTGTGGTTTATGAGTGCAAGAAGGTGTTTTGCTCTGCTGAAGGTGTTCTCCTGCATCTCAGGGGGCAGTGGTGGGGCTGACACTGTTCAGCATCTCTCATGGACAGTGGATTGAGTCACCCTCAGCAAGTTCTCTGACCACACCAGGTGTGTGGGGCAGTCCCAGTGGGAGGG